TTTAAAGTTAGCAAGTAGCCAACAGACTCCTCTACTGGGATGTGTTAATATTCCATCAATATCCCACCCAGCATAAAATGTAGCACAAGGGATCTCCTACCTAATACTGAGATAGGGAGGATCGCTTCTTTCAGACAGCCATTAGTGTTTGTGATTCTCTACTACAGTGAGCTGTGATGGATGGATAATTGAATATATCTAAGATTAGACAGGTTTTTGACAACAGTTTAAGGTTGTGAGAGATAGAAAAGTGGAGTTAAAGCCACACAGATCACTCATGACCTTATCGATTAGCAGAGCAAGCTTGAGGGACAGGCCTGAACAACCTATTATTTCTGATGAATCCAATGAGGGTAATTTTTATTGTTGGTGTGATTGCGCTAGAGTACTTTTTTAAATTTAGGTCTGTACTAAAGTGCTGCTTTGTTGTATTACAGTGTATCTGGAGTTTGGTTTTAAAAAAACAAGACTCAGGAACATTATATGGGATATTTTAATTAAATTTAAGGGTTAATTTCAGTCTAAAATCTAGTCTGTTCTTTAATTTAGCAATTAACTAAAAGTTGCTCTTTTGTTTGGGAGCAGTTTAATAACTGAGATGAGGAGGAATTTCTTCAGCCAGAGGGTGATGAATCTGTGGAACTTATTCCTACAGAAGGCTGTGGAGGCCACGTTATGGAGTCATAAGACAGAGACAGATCGGTTCTTGGTGTTGCCAGGGTTGGAGGGTTTAAGCTAAACAGGCTGGAGCTATTTTTCTGCAGCGTCAAAGGCTGAGGGGTGACCTTATAGAGGCTTATAAAACCATGAGGGGCATGGATAGGGTAAACAGGCAAGATCTTTTCCCTGGGGTGGGGGAGTAAAAATCTAGAGGGAAAATATTTAAAAAGGACCTACGGGGCAACTTTTTCACGCAAAGGGTGGTGTTATCTAGAGATAGCATGCATTCAGCATTGGAGAAACCTCAGCTCTTGACCTTGTGCTAGCCTTGTTCAAAAGGTATGAGGTATGGTGGGGGAGGTAGGGGTGGTTATTAAAGTTTCCAGAAGAAATGACAAGCCAGAGAGTATGGAAAGGGGCAGGAGTCTAATTTCAGGCACAGCAGATAATGGGACAACTAGAAGAAAAGGCACGGTTGACAGAGGACTGAGGGTGTTGTATTTAACTGTGTGCAGGATGCAAAACAAGTAAATGAGCTTGAAGCACAGATTGAAATTTGCAGGTCGAAGCTGTAGGCATTACGGAGACATTGCTGCAAGGGGATCATGGTACTAAATATCCGAGGTGTATGTGTCCTATTGAACGGACAGGCAGATGGGTGGAGGGGCTGGGTTGCCTTATTAGTAAAAAATGAATTTAAATCAATATAGCAAGAAGCAATATAAGGATGTGTAGAATCTGTGTAGAGTTGAGGAACTGCAAAGGGCAAAAAAGATGTGGATGTGGAGATCCCGGTGTTGGATTGGGGTGGACAAGGTCAGAAGTCACACGACACCAGGTTATAGTCCAACAGGTTTATTTGAAATCATGAGCTTTCGGAGCACTGCTCTTTTGTGAAGTGAAAGAATACCATGATGGTAGTTATCTGAAGGCCCCCTTGAAGTAATCAGGATTTGGGGCAGAAAATAAATCCGGAAGCAGAAAAGGCATGTAAGAAAGGAACCAATACAATAATCACGGAGGATTTCCCAGGTGGACTGGGAAAATCAGGTTGGTAGCAGATCCAAGGAAAAGGAATGTCTATGGATTTTTTTTTATTGGAGCAGCTTGTGGTAAAGCCCCCTCGGAAGCAGGCAATTCTGGATTTGGTGATGTACAATAGGGCAGACTTGATTAGGGGGCTTATGGTGAAGGCACCCCTCGAGGCAGTGACAACAGTATGACAGAATGCACTCTGCAGTTTGCAAGGGAGAAGCTAGAATCAGAAGTAACAGTATTTTTAAAAAATTATTAATAAGATGAGGTTGTTGCTGGCTAGGCCAGCATTTATTGCCCAGAGGGCAGTTAAGAGTCAACCACATTGCTGTCTAGAGTCACATGTAGGCCAGACCAGGTAAGGATAGCAGTTTCCTTTCCTAAAGGGCATTAGTGAACCAGATGGGTTTTTCTAAAAATCCACAATGGACTCATGGTTATCATTAGACTCTTAAATCCAGATATTTATTGAATTCAAATTCCACAACCTGCCATGTTGGGATTTGAACCCAGGTCCCTGGATCTCTGGATTAACAGTCTGGCGATAATACCACTAGGCTACTGCCTCCTCCAACTTACTCAATTACAATTGAATAAATGTAACTACAAACGACATGAGGGACAGGCTGGCCAGAATTGATTGGGCCAGTGGAAAATGAGGCTGGAGAAGTAGTAATTGAGAACAAATAAATGTCAAAGGAACTGAATAGGTATTTTGCATCAGTCTTCATGATGGAAGACAGCAGTAGCATAACAGAATCTCAAGACAGAAAGGGGACCAAGTCAAATGTAGCCTGACCCGGTTCAATGGTAAGATTTTAGAGTCCATTATTAAGAAGAGTTCATTATTAAGAGTACTTGAAAGTGCATTGTAAAAAAGGGCTGAGTCAACACGCTTTGTCAAGTGGAGATCTTGTCTGACAAATCTTTTTGATTCCTTGAGGAGGTAATGAGTAAGTTAGACAAAAGGTGAGCTAGTGGACATGACATATTTGTTTCTCCAGAAGGCCTTTGACGAGGTGCCACACAGGAGATTGCAAAATAAGATAAGAGCTTATGGTGTTTGCGGAAAGATGCTTGCATGGATAGAGGATTGGCTGACTGGCAGAATCAGGATGGCAGCCAGTAACTTGTGGAGTTCTGCAGGGTCAGTATTGGAACAACAAGAACTATTCACGTTATACATTAACAATCTGGATGAAGAAACTGACAGCACTGTTGCTAAGTTTGCAGATGACCCAAAAATAGGTGGCGGGACAGAGTGTTGAGAAAGTGGTAAAGCTGAAAAGGACTTGGACAGGCTATGAGAGTGGGCAAAGAAGTGGCAGAAAGTGTGTGAAGTTATGCACCTTGGTAGGAAGAATAGAGGTGTAGATTATTTTCTAAATGGGGATAGGCTTTGGAAAACTGAAGCACAAAGGGACTTAGGAGTCTTACTTTGGGATTCTCTTAAGGTTAATATGCAGGTTCAGGTGGCTGTTAGGAAGGCCAATACAATTTCAAGAGGAATAAAATACAAAAGCTGAGATGTACTGCTGAGGCTGTAAAAGGCTCTGGTCAGACTGCATTTAGAATATTGTGAGCAGTTTTGGGCCCCATGTCTTAGGAAGGATGCACTAGCCTTGCAGAAGGTCCAGAAGAGGTTCATAAGAATGATCCCAGGAATGATGGGCTTGTTATGTGAGGAGCAGTTGAGGATTCTGGGTCTGTACTTGATGGAGTTTAGAAGGATCGGGGAGGGGAGGGGTCTCATTGAAATTTACAAAATACCAAGAGGCCTTGACAGAGTGGATATGGAGAAAATGTTTCTATTAGTAGGAGAGGCTAGCACGTGAGCGCATAGTCTCAGAAGGAATGGACGAATAATGGGGTTCTACCCTTTTATTTTTGAGCTGTTCATACTCAGCAGAATCGTTTCCTAGCCCTACCTATGGTGCTGGCACTCAGAAGGTTCATAATAACTCCATCAATCCCTGCCACTCCAAATTCGTCTCCAGAAGGAGATGCTCTTAGATCCTGGCACGAGACAGGCAAGACAGCCTTTTGGACACCCTTCGTAACTTCACTGAATAGTATTTATCCCATTAATTATACCATGCTTTTTTCTTCCCTGAATTTGAATGACTCTCTGTATCTCTGCGCCATGATCCAACTGCTTATCCACCCTACAATCCCTGCTTTCAACCACAAACGCTTAAAGAACATAAAACTTGTCAATTACAAGTGCTGAGGCTCCTCCATTGCTACCTCTGGGTTTCCATACCTGCCTCACTTGTAATTATATCCACCTCTTCCTGACAATGGATCAAATCAAAAATTAAGCCTATGGAGTGTGACTAACTTCTGGAACAAAGTATCCAGTATCTCTTCCTCTAAATGCATTGCTGTATTTGAAGCTTAGACTCCACCTCAAGAGCTGAAGATCCTCAAACTGCAAACATTAACTGACAAAGTAGTTGTTATTGATCACAATGGTATCTACCAGCTCCCACATGCTCCAGTGCCACATATCACTTATTATGATTATTGTATTTTGTTTAACTGATGAGGTTTCAAATTTCAGAACATCACTCAATCATCATTTGCAGTCATATAAAGTAATTTAACTAGTTAAGCTATAAATTTAATGCAATATTTGTACCTCCCAGTGCAAATTTAAACTATTGCCTTGGTTCAGAGGGATGCAACCTCAAATCTCTCTGACAAATCACCTACCTGCTCAAGTATTTAATTGCTTTTGAACATTCACCATCTATTGGAAGTTGGATAAAGGTACAAAGAGCAACACCACCTTTACACGCAATTCCAACCTGCATCAAATTACCAAGGTTGCCCTCATATCCTGAAGCATTCATTCCTTGCCTCATTCTATGCTCCCAGTCTGGGTGGTAACAAAATCCATATGCTTTAATAAGAGGGCTGGTAACTGACACACAAGTTGCAATTGCTAAGTCAGATCTTTGTTACAGTAATTAATATCTATTTAGCCAACACTTTCCTTTGATCACCACTGTGAGGCATGTTCTAGGCCTTTTAGCGAGTGTTCAATTTTAAAGTTCCAGTCAGAGTCGGAGTATTAATTTAAATTATATCTTGAGAAAAACTCTTGTCTTTTAATTTTAAATTATAGCTTGAAAAAAGAACTTATCAAAGATACAGGTATGTCACACCTGCACCAGATTCCCAAGTTAGTACTCAAAATTGAAGCAGTCCTTGGCTCCTATCACGTCTTTTAGGCACAAATTTTTTTAAAAATCACCGAATACACTTACATGTTTGTTACACACCTGCATTTTGCAACTTACCCTGTTTCTGAACTAACATCAATAAAGGCTGGTTCGTGTTTATGACTATGATAAAATTTTACGCATGTTAAAATAGCAATCTCATCAAGAGATCTTTTGATTAGTTGTCTGCTGAATTCATCTACAATTAAAGAATAAAACAATTTAATACTGTCGATCGAAAACCATCACGACAAACTTCACAAAACTAATATATTATTCACGATGTAAAGTAACTTTCTTAAAAAAAAACTAAAAAATATACAACTTTGCAATGAAGTGCAGACCATTCATTCAAACACTTATGCAGCTTTAGAATAAATATTTCAGGGTCATTGACACTATCTTTTAGATGAAACCTCAAATCAAGGCTGCATTTGTTCCTTCAAAGAAGGGCTATAAAAGATTTCATGGCTTTAATCAAAAAAAAATGGGAGAATGCTACAGGTTTTCATGCAAACATTTATTCTCATTTAATGTAACAAGAAGATTTATCTAACTCCTATTTGTGCGACCTTGTACATAGAAATGGACTCTCATGTTGACCTAAATGAAAATAATGGGCAAAATCTTTCCAGGCTCTGATGAATATGGCTATGATGAGAAATGTGGGAGAATCACATGAGAATTCAAGTGAAGCCTGTCTCGATGTATGGAGCAACAAACTGGGACACGAATGGCTATAGGGCATTCTGAAGAGGAAGATGAACAGCCAGTAGCCATAGTACATATCAGTAATGACAGCATGAGTAGAAAATAGGATAAGGTACTATAAGCAGAATAGAGTTGGACGCTAATTAAAATGTAGGAACACAGAAGTAGTAGTCTCAGGATTACTCCAGTGCCATGTGCTAGCAAAGGTAAAAATAACAGGATATACCAAGTGAATATGTGGCTGGAGAAATGGTGCTGGAGGGAGGGATTCAGGTTCTTGGGACATTGAGAACAGTTCTGGGGAATGTGGAACCAGAATGTTTGTAGCCAGATAGGACCAGGATCAATCTCCTCAGCAGGGAGGGACTTTGTTTACTCGCTCTGTTGGGGAAGAATTAAACTAGAATGACAGGAGAAAGGGAACCTGAGCAGGAAGATAGAGGAGGAAAGAACAAGCATAGAAACAAAAGCCAGAAAGGTAAGAAGCAAAACTGGAAGGCAGAAAAAGCAAGGGTGAAAATCAAATGGGATCATAGGGCAAAACAAAGTTAAGATGAATAACAAAATGAAAGTTTAAAAGACTTTGTGTCTTAATGCGCTGAACTTTGCAACAAGGTTTGCAATTAGCAGCCCAAATAAATATAAACATTTGGGTACAGTTGTGACATGGCTGCACAGTAACCAAGGTTGGGCACCAGTATTCATTATTTAGAACTGACAAAAGGAGTACGGAGGTGGGGTAGCATTATTTTAAAGGAAGAAATAAATGCAATAGTGAGGAAATTTACTGGCTCAGGGATTTCTTTATGTGGAATCTGCATTGGCAGATATAAGAAACACCAAGAGGCATAAAACATTGTTGAGGCTTGTCTATAAACACCCAAAAGTAGTCGAGATTTAAGGGAAGACACTGAGCAAGAAATCAGAGAAGCATGCTATAAGGATCATCTGTTAGCATAGGAGACTTTCATTTACATATAGGTTGGACAAACCAAACTAGCAATTGATAATGCATACATGATGGGTTTTTTGTTTAGACTAACATGAGGAGCCAACCACAGAACAGGTTATTCTCGACTGGGTAGTGTGTAGTAAGGAAAAGGATTAATTAACAAACTCGTTGTGCAGGGTCCCTTGGGGAAAGAGATAGAATTCTTCATTGAGGTGGAGAGCGAAGTAGTTGAATCTGAAACTTGGGTCCTTTATCTAAATAAAGGCTACTGTGAGGATATGAGTTGCAAAGTAGCTATGATGCTATGGAGAATCTTACCAAAGGGCTTGACATTGGATAGGCAGTGGCTAATATTTAGAGAATGTGTTCATGAATTATAACAATTATTCATTCCTGTTTGGTGCAAAAATAAAATAGGAAAGATGGCTCAACCAGGACTTATGAAATAATTTGGGATTGTATTAGATCCATTGAGGAGACATATAACATTGTTTAAAAAAAAGGGAACATTTTAGAATTCAGTAAAAGCAGACAAAATGTTTGATTATGAGAGGGAAGGTAGAGTATGACAGTAAAATTGCACGCAACATGAAAACTGATCGCAACAGCTTCGATAAATATATGAAAAGATAAAAATTAGTGAAGACTAGTGTAGGTGATAACAGAATTGGTTGACCGACACAAAAAAGAGCTTGAGAATAAATGGAACTTTAGCCAAGTGGCAGGCAGAGACTAGTGGATTAATTCCTGAGCCCTAACTATTCATGATATATATAAATGACTTGAATGTGGAAACCAAACACAACATTTCCAAGTTTGCTGATGATGCAAAACTGGGCAGAATTCAGTTATGAGGAGGATGCAAGGAGACTGCAAGTTGATTTAGACAAGTTGAGTCAGAAAACACATGGTAGACACATGGAAGAGCCCAACATACCAGTGCAAAAGGCAAGGCTGAAATACTCGCAGCAATCTTCAGCCAGAATTGCCAAGTGGATGAACCATCTTGGCCTCCCCCGGTGGTCCCAACCATCACAGGTGCCAGCCTTCACTCCATATGACATCAAGAATTTGTTGGAGATACTAGATACTGCAAAGGCTATGGGCCCTGACAACATTCTGGCAATAGTACTGAAGTCTTGCGCTCCAGAACTTGCTGCTCCTTTAGCCGAGCTCTTCCAGTACAGTCACAATACTGGCATCTATCCAACAGTATGGAAAATTGCCCAGGCATGTCCTGCACAAAACAAAAGCAGGAGAAGCCCAAACTGGCCCATTACTGCTGCATCAGTCTATTCTTGATCATTGGTAAAGCAACAGAAAGTGTCATCGTCAGTGCTGTTAAGCAGCACCTGCTCGGTAATAACCTGCTTAGTGACGCCAGTTCCACAAGGGCCACTCAGCTCCTGATTTCATTACAGCCCTGGTTCATACATGAATTCCAGAGGTGAGGTGAGAATGACAGACCTTGATATCCAGGCCACATTTGACCAAGTGTGGCATCGAACCCTAGCAAAACTGGAATCAATGGGAATCAGGGGATAAACTCTCTGCTAGTTGGGGTCATACCTGGCACATAGGTAGATGTTTGTGGTGACTGGAGGTCAGTTACCTTAGCTGGAGTTCCTCAGGGTAGTGTCTAAGGTTTAACAATCTTCAGCTGTTTCATCACTGATTTTACTTCCCTCATAAGGTCAGAAATGGAGTTGTTTGCTGATGATTACACAATGTTTAGCACCATTTGCAACTCCTCAGATGCTGAAACAATCCATGGTTAAATGTAACCAGATCTGCACAATATCAGGGCTTGGGCTGACAAACAGAGAGTAACATTCATGCCATACCAATGCCAGGCATGGTTATCTCCAATAAGAGAGAGTCTAACCACCACCCCTTGACATTCAGTGGTATTACCATCACAGAATCCTCCACTATCAACATCCTGGGGGTTATTATTGACTAGAAAGTGAACTGGATTTACCATACAAATACAGTGGCTACAATAGCATGTCAGAGGCTAGGAATACTGCAACAAATAACTGACTTCTTGACTCCCAAAGCCTGTCCACCATTTACAAGGCACAAGTCAGGAATGCTCTCCACTTGCCTAGATGCAACTCCAATAACACTCGAGAAGTTTGACACCACCCAGGACAAAGCAGCCCACTTGACAGGAGCCATATCCACAAGTGTCCACTCCCTTCACCATCAAAGCTGAGTAGCAGCAGTTTGTAGAATTTACATGATGCACTGCAGAAATTCGAAGATCCTTAGACAGTACCCTCCAAATCCACAACCACTTCCATCTAGAAAAAGGGTACCAGAGACATGGGAATACCACCACCACAACCACCTCCAAGTTTCCCTCCAAGCTAATCACTATCTTGACTTGGAAATGTATTATCATTCCTTTAGTGTAGCTGATCAAAATCTAGAAATCCCTCCCTATGGAGATTGTGGGTCTTCCTACAGCACAACGACTGCAATGGTTCAAGAAGGCAGCTCACCACCATCTTCTCAAGGGCAACTAGGGACAGGCAATAAACGCTGGCCAACCAGCAATGCCCATGCCCTATGACTGAAGCAGTATGATATGTCTAAATGTGAAGTTACACACTTTGGTGAGGAAAACAGAGAATATTATGTAAATGGTGATAATATCAGGAAATGTGGATGTGCAAAACAATCTGGGAGTCCTTGTACACCAGTCACTGAAAGCAGACATGCAGGTGCAGCAAGCAATTAGGAAGGAAAATGGTATATTGACTTTTCTTGTAAGAGGATTTGAGTTCAGAAGTACGAATACATCACTGCAGTTATACAGTCCTTCGCGACACCACAGCTGGAGCAGTGCATGCAATTTTGGTCTCCCTATCTAAGAAATGATACGTTTGCCACAGGAGGAGTGCAGCTTAGAAGGTTTACTTAGCTGAAATTAGGGATGATAGGACTGTTGCATGAGGATAGATTAGTTCAACTAGGCCAAGTTTCCATGTTTCTATTCTCACTTATGAGCAGCAACAGGTCTGTTAAAGGGTATTTTTGCTCATTATCACTGTCTTTACTACTTAATCTCACCTTAGTAGTAAGAGAGAAACTAGGAGCAGGAGTGGGTCATTCAATTTGAGCATAGCTTTCATGCCTGATTCTCTATTTCAATGTAATACTCCCACTTTCTCTCCCATATTCCTTGATCCCTTTAATATTCAAAAATAGAATTATCCCCTTCTTGAATATATTCAATGAATTAGCCTTCAGGTTTCTGTGGTAGGGAATTCTACAGGTTCACTACCATTTGAGGGAAGAAATACTTTCTCATTTCAGCCCGAAACAACTACACCAAATCCAGAGACTTTGGTCTCTGGTTGAACTTCCCAACCAGGGAAAACATCCTCCCTGCATCAGGTCTAGCCCAGTTAGAATTTTGTATATTTCAATCAGATCCTCTCTCAGGCTCCTAAACGCTAGTAAATACAGACCTGACTGAATCAAGCTCTCCTCATATGACATTCCTGGCATCCCCTTTCACGGATTTC